TTCCTTTTCAATTTCTGATTAAGTCTCCATGACATCCACCATTTATAATAAGTTAAAAACTCACTGATTACTGCATGGAAAAACTTTCACAGGAACACTTTTTGATTACTCCCATGCACTACCAATTATTTCCATTTACAAAAAAAAAAAAAAAAAAAAGGAGTAAGTATAAAGGAGATAGATAAGCGTACTCTACCAAGCTTGGGGTCAAACACAGGAAACAAAACAGGACTTTCTCAATTTCAGTAGGGAATGTTTTAAAAGGACCACAGTTATCAGCAATTTCTTTCAGCTATTTCTCGCAACCTCTCAAAATGGATGTGGAAGACCAGAACCGCATTGGTGGGGCCCCAGCACTGCTCTATGAAATGCTGCACAGTTCAAACTTAGCTAGCTGTCAAAAGTTAAACCACTGGGCCAGAGATTTAGCTCAGAGGTTCCGCCGCCTGCCTCGCAAGCACAAGAACCCACAATCAATCCCTGGTACCAAAAAAAAGCAAAGAAACAAAAACAAAAGTTAAGCCATTCAGTACCATAGTGTCTGGGATCTCAAGTTCCTCATTTTTTCTAAAGTCCTAGAAAAAATATTAATATTTATGACCAAGCTGACTTTTGATACCGCCCTCTTTGCAACAGTGGATTTTAAAATAAATAAACAAATTCACAAAGGAGGCACAGGACCTCCCATCACTGCGCGCTCTCGGAGTCACTACCAGTAGGCCTGCTTTCACAACCACCTCCTGCTCCTAAGGGCAAGAGTCTTATCCTGCACAAGGCACTTGGGAGAGGAATGGTAAAGAAAGACCCTAATTGCCTCAGCTTATTCACCTGGAGGTGGAAAGCAACCCCTAACACTTGCAAGAGATTCAGCTAATAAAGAAAAGAGCTCATTCAGGGTCTTTTGGCAGAAAAACAAGGCTTTTGGCATCTAAACCTCCAGTGCATCACAAACTTCCTGTTATTATCTAATAACTCCCCCCACTCAGCCATCACTGTTTCCGTGGTAACCAACAGAGAAATAGCAGCCTGCCAAATGGCTTTTGTAGTTCCTTTTCCAGTTTGTTCTTCTGTAGAGAATTAAAGCTAGCTGGGAAAAGAACCAGGCTAATCTTTGCAGATAGGGACATGATGTGGTTTGAAAAGTACAACTGGGTTTGGGACAAGAAGTGCAGAAAAGCTTTCCTGACCTATCCCAGCAACAAAAAATAAAAGGTCTACTGAGGTATGCGCAGCAAGCTTTGCCTTGATCTTTAGACACAATAGCCAGGCATTGGCCAGGACACAGATGTGGTGTTCACCGAACCTCTGATGAGAACTACACAAGAGAGAGATGGGCTGAATGGCAGAGCAAGATCAAACAGGTCAGCTATGGCCCCAGGTACAGTACCTTAGTATCACTCAAGGAGATGTTAACTTACTCCAAGATCAAAATGAATGAACCAAAGTGGACCAACTTGGACTAGAGAACAGTGAAAAAAGAATCGGCACCTTGAAGGAGTGTAATGTTTAATCCTAGGGTGAGGTATGCAGGAAGCTGACTGCCAACGCAGTGAATCAGAGAGGCACTGATGCTTAGGAAACAAAAATCTCCTGTCTGCCAATGCAGGGAGGATCTGTGAGGAATACAACGTGCGGAACTGGGGCAGCTCTCAGAAGATCACCAGCTACGGAGATCTGCTGGAGGTGCCAGACTGCAAAACAAGCAGCTGCTGCAGGGGTGGAGGACTGTGAATTTTTTAAAAATTAAGACTATTTCTCTTTGCAAGTAGCCTGAAACAAATGCTTTTGTCTCAAAATTTCATATTTGCAATGAAGGGCAGGAAATCTCATGACTTCTGGCTGCATCAGATGAGAAACTGTAACCCCAGGCATGTGTGTGCATCTCCTCTGATAGATCAAAGCTAAGAGGAGTTCCCAGGGTTCCCTCCCACAACCTTGAACATACCTCACGACTTGCTGACAGACATGAAAACTGCAATCTATAGTGGCCGTCTGAGATACAGCTCTAAGAGTTACAGACTCCTACAAATCCCACACAGAAGATTAACCTAATTGATACGTTTTAGTTTATACTTTTACTTTGGGTAGTATGAATCACGAGTCACATTCTCAGAGTGTTGACAAAGATTTGCAATAACTATTTCCCTTTGTCCTTCAGAAAAAAGGACTGTCTACAATAAGACAAAGATGTCTACCCTAAGAAGTATTTCCACGGCTGTCAACAAAAGGCTTCTGCACTTTTAGTTCAGTCACATTTGTGGAACCTCAGACCTTTGGAATCTGGTAATGAACCCTGAAGGAGTCTTTTCAGAAGTTTAAACATGCATCCTGTTTACCCAAGAATGGAACTTCTAAGCTCTATTCATTAATGTGTGATTACTATTTCAGATATGTTGACATTCAATTCCCCTCTCCAACAGAAGTCAGAATTGAGAAGATACACAAAAACCTCATCAAATTCAATCGTGGTGAGATGAGCCTAGGAGCCAAACTTTAGACTACAGCCAACAGCCTGTGGTACTGACATGTTTATATTTCTTCCTGAGCCCATTTCCTCAGTCATCTTCAGGTCCTCAAACAAATGTCCCTACTGATTAGATCAACATTTTCATCAAATCAGCTTCCGTAGCTACTGTGCAGACACTTGACAAGGTTGCTTCCACCAAGTCCATCAAAATAGCCTCGAAGAAGCCGAACACACAGACTTTGTTCCAAATAACTGTCCACAGGACAAATGCTGTATGTAAAAGCAAAACGAAACAAAAACAGAATGCTGTCCATTTTGTTTCCATGCATTAACCTGTAATATAACTGAAGTACAGGACCAAGGCCTGGGTTGTTTTTGTTTGGTTTTGTTTGTTTTTGAGATGCTGGGGGGATCGAACCTAAACCCTTTGCACTGAGCTACAGCAGAGTCATTTTAACTTTTTCTTTTGAAACAAGCGCTAAGTTGTGCCCAGGCTAGGCTCAAATATGTGACCTTCCTACCTCAGCCCTTCTAGTATTGGGATGACAGGTGTGCACCGCAAGAGTTACGTTTTTCTATGAGCAAACAAAGAGCTTCTGCTTCCTGGAGGGGGAAGGAACAGGGCATTTCTGGGCAACACAACACTGTTTATGTTTAGTAGTTGGAAACTGCTTGTACAGTAACACTAACTACCCAGAAGACACATTCTGGAAATTTTAAGCTCCAATGTACAATAGGTCCCCCGTTTTTTTTTCAGGAGTAGTGGCGGTGAATATATGTATGTAAAGAAACTGTAAGTTAAGACTTAAATATTTAGCAACAGACAAATAACTGCAAGGAACTCAAGAGCAGGACTGAACCAAAGACGACATATTCTATACGCGTGAGCCAATCAGAACTCTAGGAGGGAACGCAGGAAGAAGCCGTGGCACCAGTGTGTTAGAGGGATTCCAGGAGAAAGAGGGTTTTGGTTTTCTCATGCACTGCTGCGGCCCCAGCTGCAGAACCACAGGTGGCAGTGAGCAGCTGTTCCACGTGTTGGCTGCAGAAGAAGGTCTGAGTATAAACAAGGAGATGCATGATGTCTCTCTGCAATTCACAAAGCAGGAGTCTTTACTGAGGCAGAGATGAATTCTGCACATGTGTGAACCTGAGATCTAATGAGCAGTGCCCACGTATGAGAGCACCATACTTAGAAATAACAGAGCACAGACTGGGTGGTCTGACTCCCAAGTTGTGCTCCTCCACGCATGAGCAGGCTGCCTGCCGACTGCCCGGGAAAGCTGCAGTTCTTTCCCTGAGCAAGTTAACTTAATAGACACTGGGAACTGACAGTTCCCTAACGACGATGACCCAAGCTTCTGTGTAAACAAAGGCAAAGGAAACCTAATCAATGGAAATGATGCCAGCAAACAATGCTTAACAGCATCTATGCAAAATAACTCAATATGCTTCAAAATACCATGCCTGGAAAAACAAATGTGCCTCAGGGAAGGAGTCTGGCCCATTAATTGCATTCTCAGAGCAGTGTACCTGATGAAAAACAGACACAAGCACTGACTAATAATGATGTGGCCAGAGTTAGGTCATGTCCATAACAGAGCTGGCCCTCCACACGGACTGAGTCTGCTTTAATGACAGAAGCTGACTAATCAGGAGCCATGGTTGGAAAAAGACACAAGCCCTGGAAATAAGATAATCTTGCGGATGTTTGTTCTTTTCTTAGGAGTACCTACTATCCATCTTTCCATCTGAAGGCTCTAGAGTTTTGATTTAAAACAATTAGGACTGGGAGGGTAGCTCAGTGGTAGTATGTGCGCTTACCATGCAGAAAGCCTTGGGCTCAATCCCCAGAGCCAAATAGAAAAAAGAAAAGACAGACAGTAAAAAAATGAATAGTTGTAGTATACCTCACACATCAGGTAAGCTAGGTAAGAAAAACCAAAATTATTACACAGTTTAGCGGCTGCTTTTCCACCTGAGCTTGGACAGACCACCACCTCTGCTGATCTGCCTGGAACTTCCTCTCAAAGGGCCTCAGTCCATCTGTCTTTCAGAAGGTAAAGAAGGAACGAGGCTGCACGGGATGTCCCTCACAGAAAGGTGGCCATGCTCCCAAGAAGGGCACTGAATATGAAAGCTTCTCGGAAGCTCTTTCCTGAGCCTTGCTCCTCTCCCGCTGGACCCCTTCTAGCTCACGTGACCCTTCTGTAAGCATCAGCCACAGCCGTAGTCACCGGAGTTAACTGGAGTTAAGCCATCTACCCACAGGCATCTCTCCTTGGGGTCAGAGCCCACTGGTCCTTTCCACCAATGGGAAGGAGCCCCAGCCTGTGGCACAGGGCAGGCAATTCCTGGTGGCCAAGTCAGTGCATGAATGGGCACTGTGGAAGCCAATAGCTCACGACGGGGCACGCAGTTGGCTGAAAATGTTTCACCTGTCTTCCATGTGTGCAAACAGAGCTTTTCAGAGCTCTGCCTTCGTCACAGAGTAACAGGAAGCAAGACAAGGACAAGGACAGAGAATACTCACAGGCGGGGGCTTCTTCCTCATCTCAAAAGTGCGCATGGCGCCAAAGCTGAGCGAGGCAATGACAGGCCACCTCCCCAGCGTGGGCTCGTCATCGCTGTGCCAGTCCACACTGTCCTTCTCGCTTCGGTAGAGATTGCAGAGTAAGGAGTTAAAGGTGTGGCCGGTGTTCTCTTCAATACGGTGCTTCAGTGCTCGCAGCACGGGAGGCCACTGCGGTCAGCAGGCCAAGGAAGGGCAGAGGTAGACGCGAGGCACACAGAGTGGCAGCCACATGGAGGCAGAAAGAAAGGGCAAAACCAGTCAAGTGATATATAAATGTGGCAAGGAATAAGCAAATCACTTGGAATGCAATGAACAGAAGGCAGAACGAGTGGTTTCATTCCCTCCCATCATTTCTGTTCTGAAACCATTAACCTCCGTCATTTTATAAATGCACTGTATCTGGGAGAGCAACGTCAAGAGGACCAAGGCCTGTCTACACATCTCATCTTTCCCCTGTACACACATGGCCCTCACACAGAAGAAAACATGAAGGTGCTCAGGGCAGTCACCCCGGTACGTTATGAAGGTAAGCAGAGCAGGGAGGCTGACATGTGGCTTCATGCTATTAGCAGGCAGGATTAAGTTCGAAAGAACTTTCTGCTAGTGCCCCTCTACTGGTTCAATTTCTATTTAAACTTCAAAGGTGAACTGCTTTTATTCTGAGGTGTTGGGATAGAACTCAGGGCTTCACACACGCTGGGCAAGTGCTCTACTATTAAACTATGTACCCAGGCCCTGCAGAATTGTTTTTTTAAAAAGACCTTTAATCCTTGGCATTGCTAACTTCCTAAAGACAGACCCTGCAGGGGAAAAATATTCTTTTCCAACAAATGAGAATCGGGATATGTTCTTAATATAAGGGCTGTAAACTATAGAAAACTTTGATTCCACAGCCCATCTCCTGAGCACCCCGTTCAATGAAGTAGTTTTTGTCTGGAAATGCAGGCCACGTATACTACAGAGAGCTATGACCTCTGACCAGAAAGTGTTCTCAGGAGCACAATCAGTGCAGCTTGTTTTATTTCTACTAGAGCTCTGCGTCTCACCAGAACTCTCTCATGCACTTTACAAACACTTTCCAACAGTTGTTTTCAGACTATATACAACTACAATTACTGAGGACCTCCAAGAACTTTCATGTATATGGGTTACAGCTATAGATCACACCCATATTAAAAATTAAGACCAGTTGTACCATTCACACCTCTGTGCCACTGGTGCACACTCAACACAGTGAAGATGTCACACAGTACTACGAAAACAGATTGTGGGCTTCCCGCCCCCACCCCAGGCCCCACAGGTTATAGTACTGAGAATCGAGACTTTAGAGAACTCTTCAAGTGTCTGTGTTCTGTGCTTGCTAGTGGCAAATGGATGGGCAGAAAGGAAAGCTTAATATTTTCAAGTACAGCCCATGGCTACTGTCAGGTAAAAGCATAGGCCAGTGAACACTGTTCCTCACTGTCAAGGCTGGGCCTCCTTATGGGTATCAACACTACCTTCCAAGCAGGTTTTTTCAAATCAACAAGGATAACAACCAACAAAGCTTAGATCAATAAAATAAAAATGCCCTTAAGCTAACCCACGTCCAAGAGAACAAATTGTGAAGTGAAACTACAGTAGTGATGTCAGCAGGCTGTATTTCCTATTTAATAAATTTATCATCATGGAGCTCAAGATCAGATGCTAGATTTATACCCTTGACATGAATATAAAGGAGGAAGGTAGCTTTTCCACAATGTGACTGAGAATCTAATTAGCACTTCCCTGACTTGCTCAGGAGCTGAGCACAGCGAACATCAAGTTTGCATTCTGTTTCTAAGTGGGTATATATTTTTTTCTTAGTTATTTTTGGTAGTGAACCAGAGAAAGGAAGAAAAAAGGGGATAATGAACTAGAGGATTAATTTAGACTCTCTAACCAATACTCTATATAGATTCTTCAGAACTGAACGTCTAAATTAAAACCCACCATCATCTCTGTTCGGTGAGGACATTCTATCCTTAAAAGACATTTGACGAAGAGTATGAGAATATAAATCCCCAAAGTAACAGATCTCAAAGAGGGTGTAGAGAGTCCTAGGAATTACTAAGATCTCCTATAGCAGAAAGGCGAAGTCAAGTTGGTGGCACTCTGAGCCAGTCGAGGATTTGATCTAGTTTATACAGAGTTTATAAAAGATATAATCTTAACAAAGACTAAAATATGTTTTCAAAATCTATGAACCTGATTCTGGTCTATAGGATATTCAGCTTACTTCTGCTTTGGCTTTTAATTCAGGGCCTTCTCACTGAGCTACATCCCCAGTTGTTTTTATTTATTTTGAGACAGGGTTTTATTAAATCACTCAGTCGTCCGGGCTGGGCTCAAACTCGTGATCTTCCTGCATCTGCCTCCCGAGTGGCTTACACCTGTGTAATACCATGCCTGGCCTAACAATTTTAAAATTAAACAAGTACTCCCAACACACACACAACTACTGAATCCTTCTTTTAAAAAATATCAGAAAATGGGGGCTGGGGATTTAGCTCAGCGGTTCGGTGGCCTGCCTTGCAAGCGCAAGGGCTCAAACTCGTGATCTTCCTGCATCTGCCTCCCGAGTGGCTTACACCTGTGTAATACCATGCCTGGCCTAACAATTTTAAAATTAAACAAGTACTCCCAACACACACACAACTACTGAATCCTTCTTTTAAAAAATATCAGAAAATGGGGGCTGGGGATTTAGCTCAGCGGTTCGGTGGCCTGCCTTGCAAGCGCAAGGGGCGGAGTTCAATCCCCACAGAAAATAGTATATAAATGAATTAATCTATCAGCAGGAAACACAAACTCCAAATTAAAGAATCTTATTTGAAAAACTTAATATTCAGTATTTAATAGTACTAAAGGATGGTGATGACATGCAGTTAAACATGCTATACATAATTTTATTTTTATAGAAAAAAAAATCTCATATTTTTGCCTAAACTAAAAATGATCAGAACTAAACTATCAGGCAGAACAATTATCCAAAATATTAATATTCATCTTTACATTTAGCTGCAGTCTCTACATTTTTAATAAGCATGTATTACATTGTTGAAAAGCAGTGTATCGTAAAATAAAAGAAAAAGATTCCTTTGAAGAGCAGTCAAATGTCCCCAACGTGAAAGACAATAAGCAGGTAGTTTATTCAGCAAACTGTGACTCTGATCTACTCTAAAATGATGGCTCTCAACCAGAGGCAACTGTGCCCTCAGCAGACAAGTGGCAATGTCTGGAGTCACTTCTGGCTATTGTGACTGAAAAGGGCAGCTGGCACCTGGTACGCGGAGACCGTGGATACCTCTGAGCATCCCACAGCACTCAGGATGGACCCACGACAGAGGCATCCAACCCAAAATGTCAACCATGTGGAGGGAGAGGAACCTTTCTAGATGAGCTAGAATGAGTGGAAGAGAGCTCCTTCCCCACAGCCCATTTAATCTGCAACCTCTCTGCTACGAGGACTGTTGACAAGAAGGTAAATTTAATCTGACAGGAACCAGGCGGTAGTCTACACTGAACTGGCCCAGTGCAAATTCACTCTGCTTCCAAACCAACCTCAGATACAAAGGGTCTCAGCGCTTCCCAAGGAGACATAATAAATGCAGCCCTAGAAACCAAAATATTTGTCCCTACACGAAAAAGCCACATGCTCCCAGGCAATATTTCATCCCTGTGCATTTTAGTAAAGAGGTGGTTTGCAATTACACATTACCAGAAGATCTAAAATATATCACATTTCTGTGTACCCAAATGTCTGAAGCAAAACTCCATTTTCTTCAGTCTCTTTCCATAAAGCATGGCACTATCTGCCAAAGGCAAGATTCCAGGAACTAAACAGAGAGCGATTTCCTGGACCTTAACTCCATCCTCTGGACAAGCTTATTTTGAACACTAAAATACCCTTGTCTACTGTCATGGAAATTTCTAAAAACAAAAGCAGTAGAAACAAGCCAAAGCGGTAATAAGTTGAAGTCTGAGAAACGTAGCCATAAAATGAATGCCAAATAAAATGTTTTAAAAAAGAAAAGAAAAAAAAAAGATTGGGGGGTGGGCTGGCAAATAGCAAAAGAGCCTGAGAGATGGAAAAAGACATTCTGACCTCCTGCCTACTGCTCAGCCATAAGGATGTAGCTGCACAGAAAATAAATGAGAACCAGGCTGTGCATCAAATACCCCCGCCGGGTCTTCCTGTTATTTTATAGCACTTTACACTTCCATCATCTATAAAACCGCACCAAGGACAGTATTTGAACATACGTGAGGATTTGGTTCCATAGTGACTCTTGAGTAAGTGTAAGGGAGGTCTCCATACCATGCTGTAAGTCTTGGTTGCAGATAAGTTATATCTAAGAAAGAAAAACAGGGCTCTGAGACAGGGTGGCGCTCCGTGCGATGGACCTACCATAAGCCAACACTGCCTTGCGGTGTCAAGAAGCCAAGAGAGACAGAGGAAGAGGAAGGACAGCTGTCACGGTTTGTATCTGGATGTCATGTGCTCAAAGGCGGGGCTCTGGGAAGGTCTGGATTCTGGGATGTTACAGCTAAATGTGATGTCAGGAGCTGGGACCCTTTGGAGCTGGGCTCACTGGGGGTGCGACCTGCAAAGGTGTCTCTCCTTCTCAGGCGCCTCCCTTTACTCCCCACTTCCCAGATGCTACACCATGAACAGCTCTCCTCTGCTTGGGCCCTGCTGCCATGCTGCGGACCCTGCCAAGACGGAAACTTCTAGAACACGAGCCAAAATAAACCTCTCCTCCCCTAAGTGTCCAGGATTATGGTTCAACCACAAGGAAAGTGACTAAGGCAGTGGCTCTGCCTTCACAGAGGATATGGGCAAGGGCTGGCAGAATGGTTAGGGACCCCACGAAGAAAGGACAAGGCAGAAAAGCCTGGGCAAAGGTTCTGAGATGAGACCGTGTGTGTGCCATGTTTGTTTCATTTTAAAGTCTCAAAAAGCAGGATGTGGAGCCTGGGTCCCTGAAGGTAGGCATCTGTGCCACCAACATCCCTTTGAAGAACAAGACAGACTGTTCGCCCATGTGCCCACACTGTAGACACCTTTCTGATTCCAAACGAAGGGAAAAGTGTTCTGAGCAACTGCAGCATGCGGCTGATTTTAGTCCAGAAGCTTTTGACCTCCAAGTTTATTTAGAGAGGGAGTTACCCACAGATCTGCTATGCTTCCCAAAACCAGTCACAAGGACAGGAATGATAACAACAAAAAGCAGGGCTGGGGCTGTAGCGCAGGGGGACAGCCTGTCCTCTGCATATGTGGGTTCAAGCCCCAGCACAAAACCAGAAAAAAATAAATAAAATAAAAAAGAGCAGCTAACATTCACTGAAGGCTTGCCATGTAGTAGGCATTCGGTTCAGCACTCATCATGCATTACCTCATTTAACACAGCAACCTTAAAAGACAGGTATTTTGTTAGTTCAATTTTAAAGGTAAGAAAACCCAACAATTCGAGAGCTACTCGCTTGTAATGTGCTTGAAATTAACAATTACTTTGAATGAGAGAACAAGCAAAGGACATAACCAGGAGACCTACTGTGAATGTCTTGTGAGTTGGTTGGTTTTCCTGAAAAAGCTGATCCGTATTCTAATGAGTAACAAAAGTGAAGCCACTGTACACTGACTACAGAAAACTGGCCAGGAAGGAAATTCTATGCTGGAGCACAGACGCCCCCCAGTGGCCACCTGTGGAATAACAGGCACTGCGGGCTCATTGACACCCGCAGCGGAAAGGAGTAGGTTTTGAGAAAAGCAGGGAATCTGTTTCACCTTTACAAGCTCAGGAGAGTAGACTGAAACTAAAACTAAAGGAAGGCAGACTCTTCTGATGAAATAAAATCAGAATCAAAAGTCAGTAAAAAGTACTTCAGAACAATGTATGCCAAACAGCATCAGAAAAATAGAAAGCTCCAGTAGCTTCTAGCAGAGAGAAGCTGGTAGCACTGGAAGTGGCAGAGGCGGTAACATAAGCAATGAGGCTGTCAACAACAGTGCAGCCACACAGCCTCCTCTGGGCTCCGAACTCTCACGTCTCCACTCCGGCCAGGGCCTGCCTCGATCTGGGCCCTCCCCTGGCTGTCGCTTCTGCCTGAAAGACTCTTCCCTTGCACCCACTGTGCCTGGATACTCCCTGCTCTCCTCAGGGCCTCAGGTTTTGAATGTTAGGACAGGCTGTGGTGTACACGCGGTGGTAACAGAAGGCATTCCAACAGGGAGCCCGGGCAGCAACCTCTGCAACCTCAGTGATTCCTCACCCTCTCTGATGCCCGTCCTCTGTTTCCAGGGAACATCCCGACACAGCTGGTCCAACACCCAGTCCGCTTCCTGCGTGTCAACAAAGCCAGGATATAAACGTACCCTGGATGCAGAAAGAAACATTGACTGAAGAACATAGAAAAGATGGGTTAAATCAGTGGTGGTGAATCTAAGGCACGTGTGCCACAGCGGGCTGTTTGTATCATTGAAAGCTTTACAAGGCGCCCCACCACTGATTAGACTGCAACCCCCAGCAGAGTATGTTTACCTGTATCCTCCCTCTAATCCGCTGACAAAATCCTCTCCCTCCCACAGCAGCAGAACTCAACATCGCCCAGGTTGTGATGGCCCGGATGTAAAATAAAGTCCTTCCATGTTAAGACAAAGTGGAAATGATGGATAAAGGATACATGAGAGCTTTACAGACTGTGGTCCAAATGCTACTGAGGAATGTGAGTAGTACCAGCAATGCTACCAAGAACCTAAGGGACAGAAACTACTAGCAGGGCTCAGCTGTGAAACACTGGGCGAGTTACTTAACTTCCCTGAGTCTTCATTCTTCTCATCTGTAACCCAATGATAACATCTAGCTCATAAAATACTTGAAGAATAAACAGAGTAATACAAAATAAAAATTTTAATAACTGGCAGTCTTTAGAGACTACACCAATTCTAGAGAAAGAAAGATCATTATGACTTTATCAAAATAAACATATCCAAATGAGGGCTCTTCTCACTGAATAGACTGCTTATTTAGACAATGCCAATTCAGCTCGAAACCATTCTGGACACCTCTCTTAAGACGCGCACTGAGAACCCACAGGGCATCCTCTTGGATCACCCTGGTGGCAGCAAATCTTCATTTTGAAGATATGTTTGATTTTCTCAAAGAGTCAAAGCTCCCCCAGCACCATAACCGATAATGCAGTGCGACCAAAAGAGAGCAACTGGGCTTGTGTGGCTGCTGACCTTGCCTTACAGGGAGGTTCCAAAAAGTGTCACAGCAAAAGCAGCACTGAAACTCTTTACAAAGCCTTACAAGTACTGTGCGGGGCTGAGGCAAGAGGGTCCCAAGTTCGAGCCCAATCTGGGTAATTTAGTGACTCAGGAGGACCTGCCTCAAAACAAAACACCTCCAGGCTGGGGTTTTAGCTCAGTGGTTCCGCCGCCTGCCTCACAAGCACAAGGACCTGAGTTCGATTCCCGGTTCCACAAAAAAAACACCCCCAACAATGAAAGTGTGTGTGGTGGTTAGGGACAAAGCTCAGTGCAAAGGTCCTGGGTTCACTATCCCCCTCAAAAGGCCTTATGGAAGCCTTGTTTTAAGCAACTGATTTGATGTGTTTTACATTCTAATGTATTTGTCTTAAGTGTCTCATTACCTTAAAGTGACAATTAGTATACTGCTGCATTAAAGTGAGGTTTTAAAAATAATGGCTAGTGCCTAATATATGCTTTCACTTTACTGAACTCTGCCCTGATGCAGTGCTGTATGACGATATATTTATAATTCATAAAATGCAAAATAATAACTTAACACAGCACTCCCAGTACAGACCCAACTCTAATATTAAGTCACCAAGTCCACGAGGATGAAGGACTCCAACTCTTTAGGCCTCATTTCCTCATCTGAGAAACTAGGGGAGTAAGTTACTGCATCTGAGAGAGAGACTGTGAAGATTACTTGATGCTAGAAAGACATCACCAGCTTCCCATCCCACAGAGTTTAAAGGGAAGAAATTTCCTATTTCAAATGAGAGAGCAGTCTAACTTGATGACAGTTACAGTCACCTTCTGCTGAGGACTCACTTACCTAGAGACGCCTGAAGGTGACAGGCTGAGTTCATACACACCCTCCCTGCTGAGGAAAGGAGGAAAGAGACAGTCAGCAGAGACAGAACCACACCCTGCGCCCCGCGGGAGGGTCCCAGCTCCCTGAGATCACTTCACAATGTATGAACGCAGTGCGGGAGGCACAGGCCCACGTTCTGTCACTAAGACAGGCTGGAGACGGGGCTGCGCCATCACAGCCATTGGGAACAGAACCCTGAGTGGTTCTGAGACACAAAGGGATAGAATAAATTTTGATTCTACCCTTTGTCTCTCACCTGGAATTTAGGCTCGTATGATCCAAAAATCTAACACACAAAAGGGGTGAAAAACAGAGACAAAAGGACACCTCCCCTCTGGAGAGTGTGGAACAGAGGGTGCTGCCCAACAGGAGGCACAGTGGAGCTCTGAGCTTCTGTTCCTTTCAGAGACACTGTTTAAAGAAAACCCTTCAATGGCTCCACAGTTGCGGTCAAGGTTCTAAGACCTAGCGCCCTCTTCTGACGGCTGCCGCAGCGCAGCGCTCCCCCAACAAGCGCCTAGGATCTTCTCCCACAACCCCATGCCTGCTGTGCCGTCTGCCACTCAGCATCCCTAACCCAGCCCAGCGCCAGCTTTGGTGCCTGGGAAATTCTATCCTGTCCTTCAAAACCATCACCTCTACCTTTCCTGGCCTTTGAATCATGTAAGTAACATTACCCGACTCATCCTGTGGGTGCTGGCAGTACAGGTCTACTATTTTAAGGTATACAAGATTACACCCACCATTTCTCCACACGTCTACGTCATCTACAAGACTGCAGGCCCCTAGGAGGGGTTATTAGAAATGGGTTATTACTGTTTCCCAGTGCCTGAACATAGTAGATGGAAAAGTGAATCTTACTCAATTTCATCAATGTGAAAAAAATAGAGCAGGGTGTAAAGTCCACAATGAGAAAAAGCAACACAGACCACAAGGGACATCTACCCAAACAACTGGGTCTGAGCCTTTTCAGCTAGGCTCTTAGGTGGATGTGTGAGGACCTCTGAGCCAAATATGTAGGCATAGTCATCGCACGTACTGTGAAGGACCACTTGCTGTAGACTTTGCTATTCAGTCTCCTAGAGAATGAATACAGTATTTCAATGTTTCAGCCCACATTTAGAAAATGGCTCACTTTAACTATGGAACACATTTTTGGGTATTTAAAAAAAAATCTAGCATAGTTAGCTTTAGGTAAGCAAGAGTTAACAAACTCTAGGGTAAACAGCATTGGATTTTTGTCATTTTTCTCTTGATTTAGCAGCTTTAAATTGCCCATTTTTTTTTCCAGTATGAATATCCAACTGTAAGAGTTTTTATAGTTTTGTTTATTCTCTTTATCACCAATTACCACACTGGTATTTTTAAAATAATCAAAGATTATTAGAACTAGCCTGGACCTGAAGTGACTGCAAAATCCAGGTCCCTACTTCGAAGACAAGCACACTGAAACTCAGAGAAATGGAAAGAACTACATAACTAACTAGTGGCAAAGCCAAGATTGTACTTCCCCTTGAAAATCACCTGTGTTACATTTCAAATTCTTCCAATATATAAGCCAATCTGCAAAACAGTGTTTAACAGATTGCTCATGGGAAACAATATACGTCTAATTCTAATTTTCTAAAATAAAAGGACACTGATAATCAGATGGAAACCGAGGAGCAGGAATTTTTAAAATGATAAAAGTATCTCTTAGGAATTTTGGATAAGAACCTTTCAGACACAGAACAATGTAAGCAGAACACTTAGTATCATTTTAGTCGCTGCCCTGTCATTTTAACAAAGTGTCTGGATGGTCAGGTGGGTTGCCAGCAGCTACATTAAGCACTGCCAGTGAAAACCACAAAGCTTCAAAAACAGCCAAGAGCCGATGACTCAGGGACCTCATCTTGAGCTAAGGGATGCTTGGGCGCACTATTGAGCTGTCAGTGAAGAGGGCCAGGAAATCTACGCCCGAGTCAACATTTAACACACGGAGATCTTTTTGCATTCTTTCCATATGATCAGCAAATTCAAAAAGTCTTCTCAAAAGCTCACATTTAAAGATAGAGCTTGGAATATCCCAGCCAAAAAATTAAGACACTTATTGGGCTGACTTCTTCACAAGGAGGAGTCGGAGTGAGGGAAAGACCACGCAACCGTGACAGGAAGGCAGCAGATTACTTACTCTATCACTCGCGGTTCTGGGGCTCTGCGTACTACCTGCAAGGAAACAGGCAGATCTGAATTCTGGAATGATCTCTAACCACCTGGGAGACTGATTCACCATAATTCTCTCACTTCTGCTCAGAAAAAGTCAGGTCTACAGCTATCTCTTTTTCATTCCAATCTCTCATTGTCTTTCTTTCTGTTCTTCTTAGAACAACACATCACACTCTCTAGCAGACAGAAAAAGGTCATTACAATGAATCAATCCTACAGGCCAGCAGGTCTGGAAAGCATCCTTTACATAAGAGATTTTTTTTTTAATTGAAGATATATTATAAAATAAAGACTTTCAAGAATTATTTATACAATTGTTACTATAGCAAAATGCCTGATTAGTGTTATTGTTGGTGGTGGTGGTACCAGGGATCAAACTTGAGACTCTGTGCCTGATTGTTTTTAATCTTTTTTCCATATTGTTAAAAAATAAGCACTTGGGATACTGCTCAGTAATAGAATGCCTGCCTAGCATGCATAAGGCCCTGGATTCAATCCCCAGCACTATTAAAAAAAAAAACCTTTCTGTTTTTTACATTCCCCTCCCCGATGGAAAATATGATTTAACAATCAGGCATTTTGCTAGAACTGAAATTTCAATTCCATCACAAAGACATTTGCTGTCACAGCACTAAAGACAGCGTGGTCTTGGAACTGCAAGACCTCCGAGCACTCACAGAAACCCTAGTCATGATATAAGCTTTGGCCTCTACTCATCGGATAGCTTCCCTACCCCTCCTCCCAAAATAGGAATAGTTATGACCAACTGCTGGGAGCAGAAAATGAAGCATTTTTAAACATGTGGAGGGAACTGAAATATTTCACATTTCATTATCACCTTTTTGCTCTGCTTTGCATTGGTAATTTATTCAGGCATTGTTTGAGTACCCGCTACATAGGAACAGCCTTCCAAGCAACCCCTCGTTAATACTGAAGAAGAAACAACAATTTACCTGCTGGGGTTCTCTGAACACAAACTCTCTGTCAGACAGACGATGCTCCTTGTCCCTCCAGGTCTGGCCAGGTGTCTGCTGGAGATGGCTCCCAGCAGCAGCAGCTAAGAAAGGAGCAAGAATGGCCTCAGACCAGTCTGTTTGCACGTGAACAGTCGCCTCCTACTGAGTGAGGGCCAGTAAAACCCCCTCAGAAATGACCCGTCACATCTAAAATTAATCAGTGAAGTCATCAGAAGTCTTCAACACACTCTGAAAGGTTAAGGGCACTGATTAAATAGAAGGAACACTGAAGACCCCTTTCCTTTAGCTCATCGTCAAAATCAGACAAAACACCAGCCATATTTTAAACAATTCCTTAATATCAACTGAAATGGACTTCATCATCAACCAAAAGGATATAAATAAGAGAGCGGAAGAGTTGCCCACATCCATACACACACACAATCCCGGCAGGTTCTTGCCTGGCTGAGCAGCCGGCCGTCTCTTAGGGGCAGCCCAGGCTCCCTGCACTCGCGCTTGCTGTCTTTTGTCCGCCATGTTGACCAAAACAGCTTCTGCTCTGTGCTCCCAGATTTCATTCCTGATTCAAACCACACAATGGTATCTGTGTAAGGAGGAAACAGTGCTTTTAGTTAGGATCTTGACTTTGGTCTGTTAACAGGTAATCCTGATCCTTTCAGGAAGAAGAGATGGGTCAGTAGCAGTCAGAGCTTCTGCACAAAATCAGCTTCTTTGTGTCATCACAACTCAATCAAGGAGCCTAAGTCACTCAGAACTCCTCGCTTATCTTCTGTAAGCTTATCATAGAACTTTTACTTATTTCACAAAAAAGTGCACATTTCTAAAAGCAAGACCTATTATAGACTATGTTATCCTTATTAGTCTTCAAGAGCAGAAAATTAAGAAGCTGTAACACTCCTATTATCTCCCAGACATTAAGAAATGGGCTAAGATTCAGTTCCCAAGCAGATTTCCATATTCCATTACCATGGGCAGCACCAAACTTTCCGGAAGCTAGTTAAAAGCACCCATGGCAGATGAATCTGGAGGACTTCCTGCTGTATGAAATAAGCGAGGCACAGAAAAACAAAGATAGCATGGTCTCACTTATGTGTGGAATCTAAGAGTCAAACGCCTAGAAGTGAAGAACAGAAGGTAATTACTAGTGGGCAGGGGAAGGGGAGAAGGGAAAAAGAAGACATTGATGGCAGGGTACAAAGTTTCAGTTAGACAAGCGAAGTAAGCTTAAGTCATCTCTTGCACAAAGTGATGACTATAATGAATATCAATGTACTGCGGGTCTCAAAATTGCTGAGTAGATTTTAAATGTTTTTCACCACCAAATTAAGAGAGGTGATACATTTACTAGCTTTATTTAATCGATCTATAATATAACTATATATCAAAACATCACGCTGCACCCCATTAATATAATTGTTACTTGTCAAAATAAGATCTGAAATTTTTAAAGTTTAATAAATTAAAATTTAAATATCCTTGGCCTACCTCCAGAAAATCTGATTTAAGACAGAAATAAGTGATTGTCTTTATGATGTTACACTGGTTTGTATGGGGACCATGGGTCACTCAGGAAATAAATTAATTTGAGTCAATTAAATATTCAAATTCTGGTTCTGCCACCTGCTTCTCAAGCACAAGGACGTGAGTTTTATCCATGGTACAAAAAAAAAAATTGAAATTTTACTATGATTCAGTCTTCAGCTAACTGAAAAAAATCTACCTCATAACAGCCAGTAATACTGAGGGCACTTTTGCCAATAAAATTTAGATCATATCAAGGGCCAGGGATTTAGCTCAGAGGCACCACTCTAGCCTCCCAAACGCAAGGTCCTAAATTCGGTCCCCCATACTGCCACCAAAGGAAAAAAAAAAAAAAAAAAAAAAAAAAAAAAACAAAAAAAAAAAAAAAAAACCG